GGTTTTTTCAAAGCCTGATTGGTCCAAAGACTGAGAGCAAAGCCTTAAATACTGGTGCCTTCCAATCCTGGCCCAGTTTCCTCGAAGTCGAACGGTACAACTGAAACAACAACAAAAAAACAACAACCAAACCCCCGGGACCACCCGGCCCCTCCCCTTGGCCCCAACGGAACACAACCCAGGGCGGGTCGTGACCACTCCCTCCCCTCCTCTTAAAAGAAACGTTCAGGTAAGACCAATGTTCTTTTTCCAGAGGAGGGGAGGGAATGGTCACGTGTGGGACATACCCAAGCTATAGTCCCAGGGAGGGAGAACAAGAAACCACTAGGACCCAAGGGGAGCATCAGCCGCCACCCTCTGTAAGACCCTCTGACCAAATGACGCGTCCGCAGATGCGAAGGCATCCAGACGATAATGTCGGATGAAAGGCATTGGAGAAGCCCAAGTGGCCGCACGACAGATGTCCTCAAACGGGGCCCTCGTGGCCCATGCTGCCGTGGTCACGGCACTCCTGGTAGAATGGGCCATGATGCCCGACGGGACCAGACAACCCGAAGCCCCGTAAGCTTCCGCAATGGCGTGACGCAGCCAACGGCCGATGGTGGCCAAGGACACCCTAAAACCCAGCATCCCTGGCTGGACAAACAAGGCCTCCAACCTATGGGTCCCCTCGGTCCACCAGAGGTAGATCCGCAGAGCGTGGTGGACATCCAACCAATGCCAGAGCCGCTCCCTATCATTGGACGGACCCAGGCAAAAGTCGGGCAGGATGATCTCCTGAGCCCTATGAAAGGGAGTATTCACCTTTGGGATGAAGGTAGGATCAAGGCGAAGCACCACCCTAAATGGCAAAGGTCATCCCTGGAAGATAGGGCACCCAGTTCAGAAATACGCTGGGCGGAGGTAACCGCCACCAGGAAAGCCACCTTCAGTGACAAGAACCGTAGATGAACAGACCTGAGAGGTTGTCCTCCTTCACAGCCAGGCAAATATCAGCGGAGCGGCAGCTGCCCAGAGCGATCAGCTGCTCCGCAGGCAGCTTGAGCGCTCTACATGGCACCAAAGCTGCTGCCGTCACCATTCCGTACAGGGAGAGCTGCTCCGTTAGTAGCTGAAAATGGGAACTGGCACCCCCGCAATCCTGGGGATAGGGCTGAGGCTCCGGGTCCACAGGGGGGAGGCTAAAACGCCCCACAGGGCCCTCCCCAACTGCCCGAGGCAGAGAACTGTCCCTTGGGGCCNAGCCGCCACCCTCTGTAAGACCCTCCGACCAAACGACGTGTCCGCAGATGCGAAGGCATCCAGACGATAATGTCGGATGAAAGGCATCGGAGAAGCCCAAGTGGCCGCACGACAGATGTCCTCAAACGGGGCCGTCGTGGCCCACGCTGCCGTGGCCACTGCACTCCTGGTAGAATGGGCCGTGATGCCCGAGGGTACCAGACAACCCGAAGCCCCGTAAGCTTCCGCAATGGCCTGACGCAGCCAACGGCCGATGGTGGCCGAGGACACCCTAGAACCCAGTGTCCCCGGCTGGACAAACAAGGCCTCCGACCTATGGACCCCCTTGGTCCGCCAGAGGTAGATCCACAGAGTGTGGCGGACATCCAATCAATGCCAGAGCCGCTCCCTATCATTGGACAGACCCAGGCAAAAGTCAGGCAGGATGATCTCCTGAGCCCTATGAAAGGGAATATTCACCTTCGGGATGAAGGTAGGATCAAGACAAAGCACCACCCTAAATGGCAAACATCATCCCTGGAAGACAGGGCACCCAGTTCAGAAATACGGCGGGTGAAGGTAACCGCCACCAGGAAAGCCACCTTCAGTGACAAGAACCATATTCTGTGAAAGCCTGCTTTCAAGGCCCTTCTGGAGGAAGTCCAAGACATTAGGAATAGTGGCCTTATCTTGAGAAATGCCCAGAGGAGAGCACCATCAGATAAAGGCCGCCCAGGTGGAATTGTAAATGCGGTTCATCGACGGACGCTGAGATTCCTCGATGGTACAAATGACCCCAGAGGACAGATTAGGCCGCCTTAGAAGCTGCCATTCAAGAGCCAGGTGGTCAGATGGAGCCACTGGGGCTCCGGGTGAATCAGAGCCCCCTGCAGCAAGACCACCTCCCCCTGCGGAATCTTCCACGGGAGGGCGACAGCTGGACTAGGTCTGCAAACCAGAGCCTCCTGGGCCAATAAGGGGCCACCACTATGACCAGGGCCCTCTTCGCCACCACCTTCCTGACGGTCCCCGGGACGAGGGGAATGGGAGAGAATGCATAAAGAAGGCCCGAGAGCCACCAGCTCCTGAGGGCGTCCGTGCCCTCCGCTGACCTGGACTGGAAATGGGTGAAAAACCGAGGAAGTTGGGAGTTCGCGGGCGAGGCGAACAGATCCACCAGAGGAGTCCTGAACCTCTGACAGATCCTCCGAAACAGCGACGGGTGGAGCTGCCACTCGCCATTGTCCAGACTCAGCCAATCCGCCTGGACATTGGAGAACCCGGAGAAGTGTTCCGACACGAAAGACAACAGGGCCTCTCCGCCCAGGCGCCTAGCCGCAGAGCCTCCAGCCTGAGTGGGTCCCCCCTTGACAATTGATGTGGGCCTTGGTGGCCACATTGTCCATCAGGAGGAGCATGTGACGCCCCTCCACTGAGGACTGAAAGTGATGCAGAGCCAGGCGTGCCGCCTTCAGCTCCAGCCAATTTATGTTGTGGTGGAGATCCAAGGCTATCCACCTGCCCGGAGCCATCTGAGAACCCACCAGGGCCCCCCCCCGAACAGACTCGCGTCTGTGGTAACAGTCACCCTGTCTGGGTCCCAGAAGTAGCAACCCCACTGAATGGCCGGGGAAAGCCACCACACTAGCTTGTCCTCCTTCACAGCCAGGCAAATATCAGTGGAGCGGCAGCTACCCGGAGCGATCAGCTGCTCCGCAGGCAGCTTCAGCGCTCCACATGGCGCCGAAGCTGCTGCCACCACCGTTCCATACAGGGAGAGCTGCTCCGTTAGCAGCTGAAAATGGGAGCTGGCACCCCCGCAATCCTGGGGATAGGGCTGAGGCTCCGGGTCTGCAGGGGAGAGGCTAAAACGCCCTACAGGGCCCTCCCCAACTGCCCGAGGCAGAGAACTGTCCCTTGGGGCCGCAGCTGCACAATTTAGAATTTAGTAAAACTTTTAAAGTGCCCAATTAAGCCAAATAGAAAAGCAGATCTCAATAAAATTAAGCCTACCTATGGAAATTCTCAACAGTACTTGGACCAAGAAAGACTGAGAGAAACTGGCCCAGGATTGGAAGGCACCAGTATTTAAGACTTTGCTCTCAGTCTTTGAGCCAATCAGACTTTGAGAATACCCAGAGGTGACCACTCCCTCCCCTCCTCTGGAAAACTGGGTTTGTTCACTTTGGATTACAATCCTAAAGCAACTGCTCCATTCTTTCAGCAATCTCCACTTGTCTAAACAAACAAAAACTCCATCTGGAGAAGTTATAGACAACTACTTAGAAAAGAACACTTTTTGAATTGCTAATGCTGCTGACTGCAAAATGCAAATGCATTAAAAGGAGTTTTTTCA